ATCGCGGTGGAGGGCGCTGTAGTGCACGAGCAGATGTGACGGACCTGTTGTCCTCGCTGTGTGTGGGGAACTTGGGGAAGAAGGCGATGAGGAGTGCGGCGACTGCTGTGCGCGAGGTGCTCAGCGTGCCGCGCCCGCCCGCCAGGAACAGCAGCCCCACAGTGCAGTGCACCGCCATCTGATCACAACGAAGATTAATGTGTTATTTATTGATGAGAACTAAGTTCAAGTATAATCTAGTTAGTATAATGGATATTGCTTGTGTACCTGTGCGCCGTGCGAGAGGGCGTGCGGCTGCGAGGCGGAGGACTGCGGCCCGCGCACGGCGATGCGCGCGCGCAGCCGCCGACACAGCCGCAGCACGCGCAGGTCACCGCGCCCGCTCATTATCTAACCACACAAAACAGAAGTCAAATACATGAATAATTATTTCATTTAAATATTAATTTGTATTGAATGAATGTGTCACCATGCCGGCGGCGAGCAGACAGACGCAGAGGCAGGTCTCGATGGTGGCTGCGCCGGCGAGGTGTGCGAGGCGGCGGCCGGGCGCGCCCAGCAGTCTGCGCGCGCTCGACAGCACCGCCTCCAGCGCGTCCTCGTCACCCGACCCCGCGAACCGCAGCCCCAGCGCGAAGCACGCACCAGATATTATGTTGCAGTACGCTTGGCTGAGAACAATTGAAGTGATTTTAGTATTATTAATCTATTAATGGCTCAAAGTCATTATCAACAACTTGTGTTTACTTCATGGCCTCGTAATCGATGTTGTCGTCACTGGGTTTGACGAAGCAGTACGGCCGGATGGTGGCCGGCACCTGCTCCTCCACCCACTCCTCAGACGCTTCAATGCTGTCCCACAGGATCAGACCTGCAATGTTATAACAATGATATTTCCTACCTTGTTCTTGTACCTTGTGTGTGTGTATGTGTGAGTGTGTGCACCTCTAGCGATGACGCGCAGCATGAGCAGGTCGGGGCGCACGAAGTCTAGCAGGTATGGCGTGGCGGGCGGGGCGAGCCAGGCGGCGGGCGCGCACTGTCCCGC